TTTACCCAAACGGAATTCAAATAACCCTACATTAAATGGATTTTCCGGACGATAAGTAAGTACGTTACCTCAAATAGAACGTCAAACTTGTCGTTTTTTCGTAAACAAAATACGAACAGTACGCAGTATTTTTTCATAACTCTTCATGGTGACAATTTAGATGTACGAATGGGAATAATATTGACTGTCTGTTGAGTCTTGACTGTTTTCCCGTAGACTGAGTTTGTTATTAAAATTCGAAATAAAAATACTTGGAAATCATTTTATAATATAATCTTCCTCACATATATGTGTGTGTGTATGTGTAATTAATAAAGTTAATTGATTCCCGAGGTAATATTAATAAGAGGAAAAACAAATATTGTAACATAAAGTACAGGTAAAGTTTTTTTTAAACAATATAGGAAGGTTTTGCTATAGATGAATTTAGTAATACATTTTTTCGTATAGTTACGTGGCTTGTCAAAAATATAAATTGAGACCTCTAAGATTCCGAAGAAATGACTTTTTTGTTGTTTGAAGTAAACTTTTGAGTCACAAAATTTAATATTTGTGTAAATATATAAAATATCATTTGTTTGGGATTTCTGTATAATAATGCTCTTATCTTTAATCAGTTAACCCTTTGATCTTTCAAAACTTATCTTTTAATTACAAGCATAGACTATGATATACAAACTTTGGCGAGAAAAATAATATTGCTAGTTTCAATTACTTGGAAAATGGATCGTCATTTTCAAGATTTCTCTCTTCAATTACTAGTACAATAAACATTTTTAATTCTTATGTATATATTTACTAGCTTTCCGCCCGCAGCTTCGCCCGCGTGGAGTTCGGTTATATCGCGTTTCCAAGAGAACCTTTCAAAAGTCTGGGATAAAAACTATCCTATGTTCTTTCTCAATGTCAACTCTATCTCTGTACCGAATTTCATTAAAATCAGTTTAGTGGTTTAGGCGTGAAAGCTTAACAGAAAAACAGACAGAGTTACTTTCGCATTTATAATATTAGTAGCGATTAGTAGGGATGAGGAATTGTAGACGAAATTATATTATACGCAGACGGAGTCGCGGCTAAAAACTAACATATATTGATTTAAAATATAACAAAACTCGTGTAAAAAAGGAAAAAACATTCTATCAATTCTAAATGATTAGCGAAAAAACCTGGCGATATGATTTTTTTGTTAAACAACCTTGACTAACAATGCCGAGTCTGTGTACCTATGTATAGTAGATTTGTAAGTAGGGAGTAAAATTATAGACATTATGTACAGTTTTGATATAATATATACATGTATGTATATAATATGTGTGTGTTTGTATGTGTGTGTGTTTTTCGCGTTGTTATTCCATTGATCCAGTTCGCGGTAAAATCTGTTTAAAATCTCTTGAATTGAACAACTTGTTATAATAAGATCATAAGAACACCTCGTATATAAGAACAGGAGTAATATCAATAAATTTTGTATTGATTTTTTAATTACTAAATATGGAATTTCGGTAACTATGACGATTAATGAAGTCTACCGATCTTTTTTTTCTAAAACATACTTTCTAGTGAAGCAAGCAGTGATACGAAACCTCTCATCATTCCATGTATTCACGGTGCGTGTGTCGGGTCCATCGTTGTAGTGAGAGGAGCTTCAACAGTGACTGGGACTTGTGACCCAGGTGTAGGTTTAAGGGACCCCTATCTAACGCACGTTAAACGCTCACCTCCACCGTCCAAGCTCCTCTCTACCTAACCGATTTGTTTCGTTTACAAATAAAAATCATAGAAATAAATATTCCAAAAGATTATAAAAAATATATCTTTACGAATTCATTAAACGTTTTTTACTATATGTAATATAATTAGGGAACTTTAATTTTTTACTACTGTCACATTAAATAAACGAGTGACAAGGAAAACTCTAAATGATGATGCCTTTAAATTCGTTAATTTATCCTGTAATACAGCTTTACTAGTATCCTTACCACAAGTCTATTGAAACTACAAAAACATCGTTTTCCGTTTTACGAATATCTTTTGCGAGCATTTACGAATTATAATCCTGTTTCCCTCAATATTATACGATGCAAACGTACAGTAAGCATTATGAATAGTCTTCTACCTGGCAATTTCCCAGCTTTAGCCAGGGTCTGCCAGGCATGTTGTGAATAGTTTTGGCTAATTGTTTTTACGACCGTTCGCCTGCCTGACATCAAACCTCTTTGGGAATAAAGGAGTTTATTTATTTATTATCCTCATATTTAAGAATGTATAATAGTGCTTTATAAATGTTTTCTATACAAATCTGACACACCTTGAATCAAAATTTTGACGTAACCGTGAAAAAGGTCACTCAATAGTCATAACAATTTGATTAGAATAGAAATATATCTTAAATTAATTAAAATATATAATCTTTTAACCTAATTTTGAGTAATTTTTTCGTTTTTATCCGCCAATTTTTTTTACAAAAAGCTTTCAATGTACAATTACATTTACTATAATACAAACATGTTAAGGTGGCACTTCACTAGGCGTTGCGTATTCGTCGTATTTGTCCAAATATTCGTACGTAGTCCAAATAGCACAAACATGACATCCACACTTGGCATGTCAACAACACTTTACGATTTCGCTTATTTATGTATGTGTCTTATTTGTGCAAAAATGTCAAATGAAGACGAATAAATCATCCACACATTGGTGCCTTTAAAACATAACCCTCTTTTAGCATCATGATTTAGCTGTTGCTAAAAAGAGGGTTGATGTCAGGCAGGCGGCCGGTCGTAAAAACAATTAGCCAAAAACTATTCACAACATGTAAGGCAGACCCTGGCTTTAGCTGGGAAATTGCCAGGTAGGAGGAGGAGATCAAGCGGTTGCTAAGTTGAATCTGTAAAATCATCTATCCATCTATGTTAATTATATTTATCTATATAAACCGGTTTTAAAAACTTGATAGTGTCGTCTTAACTCAAAGAATTTTATGTCATACTTGTATAAGTCTTTTTATCTACATAATATGTATCTTATACATAAAATTCTCGTGTCGTGTTAGACAGAACTCCGAAACGGCTGGAGCGATTTTGATGAAATTTTGTGAGCATATTGAATAGGTCTGAGAATTATCAACATAAATTTTTTACAGCCCTAAGTCATAAGGGCTGTTCACTATTGATTTTTATTTTCGGACGAAATTTTTTGTTTCTTTTTTTTTATATGGCTAGCTAGCTTATTATATTGGGTTACTATGTTTCAAATTAAATGTCATTTTACTAGTAAATTCACGAAATTATATATATTTTTTGTAGAATTTAATGAAACTTTTAATTTTTATATATATACTTACCAATAAATAATTATAATTGTTACTTAGATAATAATCGAAAGGTAATATATAAATGGATATAAAATATGTCACAATATATAAACGATTTTTTTTGTATTTTTTATGTAATTCTTCTTATAATCTTTTACATAATATCACAGTCTTACTTGTATATAATATTTTTCCTTGTATTTTGTGTTTTTTTTGACAGCTCGAGTTTTATTGACAAACCTTGACTTATGTTTAATTTTGCCAATTGTAACTAACTACTAGTTTCTAACGTCAACTTAAAAGTTTAAATATACTATCACGTTTTTTATTATCATATTTTGTTATCAAAATACGAGCGTAAGACTGAAAACTACTAGTTTTTTTGACGAATCCAAAACTAATACTAAGTTAAACGCCAATTTATGAAAGTTAGGTAAACCGATAACCTTCTGGGAATTCCACGCAATTTTGAAGTATGGGCATTCCATTTGTTTAGAGAGAAAATTATCTGAATGTAGGTTAAACTTATGTATGGTACACACACACACAGTTAAGTCAGTGGTGACCTAGCGGTTAAAAGGACCGCCTCTCATACGAGGGCGCGGGTTCGATCCTGGCAAATACCAATATGATTTTTCCGAGTCATAATATTTACTTTCTAAGAGCATTTAGACATCACTGATGAATGCATTCCCAAAGAGGGTTGATGTCAGGCAGGCGGCCGGACGTAAAAACAATTAGCCAAAACTATTCACAACATGTAAGGCAGACCCTGGCTAAAACTGGGAAATTGCCAGGTAGAAGAAGAAGATATAATCAATTGAAATAATATTTATCAATACCAACTTACGTGTTACATACAAAGGTCATATTTCGACCTCGCAATTCGGGATTCCCGCCAATTAAACAAGGATAATATAAAGTTTATTTATACTTAGAATTAAGAATTAAATTATATACACAGGGTGGCTGCCGGTGGTTTCAGGAAATTACGAAACTTATATGTATATTATAATAAGAATTATATATTAAAACTTATAACCTATACCTAAGACTACATGACTGTCGATGTTAGGATATCAATACCATTCCATAGCTTGTGTGTATCAGGAACCTTCTGGTTCACACGCTTGGTGTTCGTTCCGCGGAGTCAGCGGCGTCACTCGTTATATATTTTATCCATACAACGATGTTGCCCCGGTGATGTTCATTTATTTCTTAATATTTAGCGCGTACGTAACAATTAATTACTATATTGTAATACTTTTGTTATTTTTGTTACTATACTTATTAGATAAAATAAAGATCATAGTAGAAGATATAAAGTTCGCAAAACCTAAATAACAAAATGTTATAGACCTATTTACATTCGTCGATACTTAAAACTGTTCGTGAGGAGTTTTACCCTTGGTACGCGTTTCGATCCTAGCAAGTACCACTGTGATTTTTCCCAGTCATATGTACTTTATAAGAGTATTTAGACATCACTGACAGATGAAGGAAAACTTAGTGAGGAAACCTGGACTTATAATTTCACAATTATTAGTTTGAAATCACCAACCCTATTGAGCAAGAGTGATGATTAATGCTCAAATCTTTTCCATGTGAGAAGAAGCCTTACAGCAGTTGGCTCTAATAGGCTGATGATGATGACGTGTTTTTAATACCAACTATATATTTGTTTCAGATGTTAAAGATAGTCCTTATCATAGCCCTGGTGGGTTCTGTATACCCTCAAGATGATAAGGATTTGGATTCAGTGATCGAGTCTATATTCGGCAAGCCATCTTCCACGGAAGCTCCCTTCATCAATGTGAAGAAACCTTCAACAATAGTACCTCCAGTCAACAAACAAGGTAACATAAAGAAAAATGACAGTTGTTTGAGATGAAAAAAACAGCGTAAATTGTATTCCCATGTTTTATTATAAAGTTTTTATATAAAACTAGTTTTTACATTCGACTTCGTCTGCATTAATTTCGGCATTAGTAATATATGTATAGATGACCGGGCGATCTCTATTCACCCCTAGAGGCCCTGAATAACCAGATATTGGAATTTATTTAGTTTTATTTTCTGTTTCGATCGAACAGAATTAAATATCCTATGTCCGTCTCCTGGCTCTAATCTATCTCTCCGCCAATTTTCAACCATATCCGTACAGCCGATCTTGAGTTATAAATAATGTAACTAAAACGACTTTCTTTTATAAAATACAAAGATATAGTTTTTGAAATAGATCTCATCTAACCAAGAGTGTTAATTCCAAATTTTTACACATTTTTTTTTCATATTTTTGTTTTGTTTGTAAATATACATTATATAGTCTAATAACATCTTCTTCTTCCTGACAATTTCCCAGCTTTAGCCAGGGTCCGCCTTAAATATTGTGAATAGTTTTGGCTAATTGTTTTAACGTCCGTCTGTCTGTCTGTCAACCCTCTTTGGGAATAAATATATATAAATATAGACTAATTAAGTGATTTTGCGATAATCTTGTTCACAGATACAGAGAATCAGCCGTGTCAGACTGAAGATGGTAAGGAGGGTCGCTGTCTGAGATACTTCCTGTGTAACTCAAACAACACAGCCATAGATGACGGAGTAGGCATCATAGATATAAGGTGAGAACAAACATTAGAGATTAATAATATTAATAAGAACAAAAACAGCTGTATAACTCTTTGCCTCTAAGTGTTGTCAATTCAAAATCTTCTATATATATAAAAATGGATTGCTGTTCCTTAGTCTCGCTAAAACTCGAGAACAGCTGAACGGATTTATCTTATCTTAGTCTTGAAATGTTCTTGGAGGTTCAGGGAAGGTATAAAGGCTGAAAAAAAATTGATTCATTACTGGGAAAACCATAAAAACAGCCCTTTTCTATTTCCCATACAAACGTTTTTTTTGACATTAGATTTGACAACTAACTAATATGTCAATCATTCTGTCACACTTCAAAACACGGAAATTTATGGCTTACAGGTAAACTCCAAAAATATAAATAAAAAAACGTAATAGATATTTCTTGATTATAGGGGGATACGAAGTTCGCCAGGTCTTCTAGTCTCTAAATATATTTAAAAAACGATTAAGAACCCATAAATTAGATGATTTCACTGATCTTGTTTAATATCACTACTGTTTATTATTTTTAATATCTTAACTGTAGTTAAATTTTTTTAAATTTCCTTAGTAAGCGAACTTTGTTCTTTTTGGAAATAAACTTCATTAAACCTAGATTTAGACCCTCACATCTCGTCTGCCCGTGATCACAATTGCTGTAAAGTAGCCGAAACGTCGGGAGTATGTAGTTTATAATCAAAAATAAAATCGCGTAGTTATAGAAAATATTAGTTTCATTTAAATGACTCGCGAAAAATCTTAGATATCATTATTGAAATTCAATCCCCAAATACCATTTATATTACAAGTTGTTACTACATATAATTTTAGGAAAAATATATCCTATATGCTTGTGTGTGAGTCGTGGTATTTTTTGTAATGTTTACTTTATACAATTAATACATTATACAAATAATATATCATTATTTACTTCTTCTTTTCAATAATTCTGACTAAACCACAATCATTTCTTCAAATGTTCTCAAAAGGAATTAATACTTTGAACCATAAAAACGGCGTATTTAACAAGTTTTTTTCTTTATAACAGAGTTCAGGCAGATCAATGCAGTTCCTACTTGGACGTGTGTTGTAATGTGCCTGACGTGAGACCACCAGATAATCCAATCACACCAAAACCACCGAAAATCAGGGTAAATACGAAAAAAAAACATAGAAAAACTATTCCTGTACACATTGCTATAGTTAGAACAAGTAATGTGTATTATTACGACATGTTGGTGCCATAATATTAAAATTATCGCACAACTAGCGAAAAAAAGTCTTCAAATTGAAAATATTAAAAAGAAATCAGTTTTGACGTAATATTTCTCTGGAAACATTAAACTTAACTGTTTTTTGGACTGTAAATTTTCGTCTAACGACGTAATTTTAGTTTATTTTTCTTTGAAACCTGTAAACTTTACTGTTTATTTGGACTAAAAATTCTCTGAAATCTTTAAAGTTAATTGGTTTTTTTTGTGACCATGAAGGAAAGTTGCGGATGGAGGAATCCCGAGGGTATTGGCTTCAAGACGATCGGTGATGTTGATGGGGAGAGCAAGTTCGGAGAATTCCCCTGGATGGTCGCGATACTTAAGTGAGCTGCCTATATATATAATGATATACACGCTTGATTAGCTTACTTCATAACCACTAACATATATATATATATACATATATCATCATTAGAAAAGTCATATGTCAGTGGTGGCTCAGTGGTTAAAGGGCCCGCCTCTCGTCGCCGAGGGCGCGGGTTCGATCCTGGCCCGGGCAAGTACCAATGTGATTTTTCCGAGTCATATGTACTTTCTAAGAGTATTTAGACATCACTGATTAATGTTGATTCCCAAAAGAGGGTTGATGTCAGGCAGGCGGCCGGTCGTAAAAACAAATAGCCAAAAACTATTCACAACATGTAAGGCAGACCCTGGCTATAGCTGGGAAATTGCCAGGTAGAAGAAGAAGAAGATCATCATTAGAAAAGTGATAAAAATCGTTTTGAACCATATATACAAACTAGTGTAATAAATTTTATGTATAATATTAATGAAATACGCAAAGATATTGTCTATGGATATACGAGAAAGAAATTTGTCTTTTTTATCTTTTGTAATCTTTCATACTTTTGAATATAACTCCTATTTACTAAATTTGTCACGATCTTTTTATGTAATGTAGAAGTTATCTATGAGCCAAATTTATAATAACTCATCCACAATAATGATTACGGAGGTGAGTGTAACATTAAAAAAGAAAAAACGGATATATATTTAGGTTCCTAACAAAATCATTTAAAAATATACTCATCTTATAAAGCCAGTCTTTTTAAATAAATCAAACCTCAACTAGAACAAACTTATTATTATCTTAAACCTGAACACCTTAAATAAGTTGAATTCAATTTACAAACACAAATCGCGTCGACAAATACATTCCCGCGTAAAAGTGAACAAACCAAACGTCATCGCTTTAACGTCACTTCGGGTGTTGGAATTTCAAGGTTCGGTTCAAATTAAATGTGTGTTGTTTAAATATATACTCTTAATTACTATATCATATAAATCCCAATAGCTCATTTATTTAGTTTATATACCAAATCATCCCATAACAGTTCACGCCTGTCGCTTAACACCATGAGAGCTCAAAGAAATACTTGTTTAATGCGTTAATAGTACCGATTATGTTGATCCCAGAATCGAAGCTGTTAACGAAGCTAGTCCTGATAGCCAGAAGCTCAACGTGTACGTCGGAGGCGGCTCATTAATACATCCCAGTGTTGTTTTAACAACAGCACACACAGTCGCAGCTGTGCCGTCACTTAAAGTTCGCGCTGGGGAATGGGATACACAGACGTCCAAGGAAATCTACCCGTTCCAAGATAGAGATGTGGATTCTATAGTCATACATAAAGACTACAATCATGTCAAAAGTGAGTTTTCATTTTAGTATGCATGTGGGACTAAACTCGAAGTTTTTTAACAGCTTCGCTCACGTGGAGTTCGGTTATATCGCGTTTCCAAGAGAACTTTTCAAAAGTCTGGGATAAAAACTATCCTATGTTCTTTCTCAAGGTCAATTCTATATCTGTACCAAATTTCATTAAAATCAGTTCAGTGGTTTAGGCGTGAAAGCGTAACAGACAGACAGACAGAGTTACTTTCGCATTTATAATATTATTAAGGATATTAAGGATTAGCTGACCCGGCAAACGTTATTTTGCCATATAAAAAATAGGGGTTGGTGATAAAAAAGTATAAATATCGGGTTGTATGTATATTTTAATGCTACGTTATTAAAAGAAAACAAAAATTTCGTCTGAAAATAATTAAAAATTAATGGTGAACAACCCTTATAATTTAGGTATAAGAAATATATGTTGGCCGATTCTCAGAGGTACTCAATATGCTCACAAAAGTTCATCTAAATCGGTCCAACCGTTTCGGAGGAGTTCTCTGTCTAACACCGCGACACGAGAATTTTATATCCCTACTAATATTATAAATGCGAAAGTAACTCTGTCTGTCTGTCTGTTACGCTTTCACGCCTAAACCACTGAACTGATTTTAATGAAATTTGGTACAGAGATAGAGTTGTCTTTGAGAAAGAACATAGGATAGTTTTTATCCCAGACTTTTGAAAGGTTCTCTTTAAAACGCCATATAACCGAACTCCACGCTGGCGAAACTGCGGGCGGAAAGCTAGTATAATATAAATCTTTTCAAAATTTGTATTCATAAACCTTAGCACGATATCAATGTAGAATGTGTGAAAACATTTAGTTTGACAGTGAGTAAAAGATCGCTATTTTTAGATTAACTTTGAGTATAGCTTTGCATATTTGTTTCATCACATTACCTACGGAGTTTTAATAGTTATTCATACATAAGTGTTTTCATATTATTAACGTATGTAGTAAATTCTATACATATATTATAATAAAGTTAGTTTTTTGACCATTTTTTGTAACTCTAAACTATTTCTCAAACATAAATATTAGGATAAACAATATAAGTTTATTACTTAAAGCAAAAAAAACTTTTTTAAACGTTATATTAAAAATTTAAAACAAAATCGTACTGTAAGTGAAAAATCAAGAAAATCAGAAAGCATACTACGTTATTGTAACTAAATGCTACATCTGTATGTAGATTACCTTTAAAAGTTGCTTTAGTCCTAAATATCTTATCTATTCTATATTATACTAGTTTTTGTCCGCGACTTCTTCCGCGTTAATTTCGGCATTAGTAATATATGTATAGCTGACCGGGCGAGCTCTATTCCGCCTTAGAGGTCGTAAATAACCAGATATTGTAATTTATTAAGCTTTTTTCGATCGAACAGAATTAAATATCCTATGTCCGTTACCCATTTCTAATCTATTTCCCTACCAATTAACAAGCATATACCTACAGCCGTTCTTAAGTTATAAATAGCGTAACTAACACGACTTTCTTTATATATATATTTTAATTAAATATATTAATTTCCAGAGAACCTTTTCTACGACATCGCTCTACTATTTCTCTCTTCGCCAATGGATACCAATATTCCCAACGTGGGCCTGGCCTGTCTTCCGCCTCCAAGGCTTGTCACTCCTGGTGGCGTAAGATGCTTCGCCAGCGGCTGGGGTAAAGACAAATTCGGCAAGGAAGGTCGCTACCAGGTCATATTGAAGAAGGTTAGTGTGTATTAAAAGTTGCCGTCACATTTTTAGTAGAGCCTAGCTGTGGTCAAATTACTGCAAATAAAATGGGCTGACTCGACCGGGGAAGTACCACCCTCTCATAGAAGATCGGCGTGAAGTAGTCTTTAATGATTGTGTTTTGTCTGATGAGTGAGAGAGACGGTTGTTCTTTCCCTTTTCCCACCATTTCCTCTCCTTCTTACTCAATCAAGGATGGCAACAGTATATGGCAACAGTACTACCTACATAAGGTAAGGCATCGTTTACACCCTGTAGCATTAAAAAAAGAAAATCTCGCTGCAAAAATATAGCTCTCGGTTTGAATTTAATCAAGCGACCTAATTGTTTCGATACCAAACGTTTTTACTACATGGATTCCATTTTTCGGAATTAATATTGATATTTTTGATTCTAACTAATTATTTTTCTATCAATATCCACTCCATATAATGTCTATAGAACATAAAACTTCTAGTCGATCGTACATTATGTTGTAGAGATCATCTCAATGGATGAATGACATGATTCACCAGTATACTCGTAAATTAACTGTTTATGTTTCAGTTACTCTTGTATTTAAAATATCGTATCTGAACATAATGATTGGAAATTATTGAATTCTAAGTTCGATTCCTGGTTCTGTCGATAATTTTTCATTTATTTTTTAAATATATTATCATTAAGATACATTAAAATGTTTTATTTGTAATTTAATACTTTAAATACTAAGAAGGATCATAATTCCCAAAGAGGGTTGATGTCAGGCAGGCGGCCGGTCGTAAAAACAATTAGCCAAAATTATTCACAACATGTAAGGCAGACCCTGGCTAAAGCTGGGAAATTGCCAGGTAGAAGAAGAAGACTAAGAAGGATCATTGATATTTTTACATAGATTTTTTTTTGTTTAACATTCAGTGACGATACACACATTGAGGAATGTTTACGGATCGATGTATTATATCTGTGTGTGTGAGTCGTGGTAGTTTGCGTGTTGTTTATTTTATATAATATATAATATTTAACACATTATATATAAATATTAGCCAAATATATGTTATACTTCGATTGTGTAATATACTTTGAAGATGGACATATTACATACTCAATGTCAGACGCCTTTCAAGGCCTTTCTACATATTTCGTTTGGGTCAAGGTCGAGTTACGAATAATATTGCTTTGTTTGTAGTATTAATAAAAAATATTATCTAAGATAATATCGTGTACTTATTTAAATGAAACTTTGTTTTATGGAAACTACTTACGTGTTTTTAATTCTTTTATATCTACATTAATCCAACGTTTTGGTTTCATCTCGTCTGTCCGTGATCACAGTTGCAAAGTAACAGAAACATCGGGATCATATAGATATAGAATAATTAAAAATGCGTGGCATACGAAAAACAAAGTCTCATTTAAATTTGAAAAAACACTTAATAATGTAGTTATAATGTTTTTAACTTTTATCTCTGTTATGTAATCTTAAAAACAACTGGACCGATTTTGACGATATATTTACTAGACTGGTGTAGTAATAAATAATAATAGAAAATAATTTAATTAAAAATATACTGTTTATAACACAAATAGTATGAAATTCACTCAAACAAAGTCGTGAACACAAGCGGGGTCAAATCACAAACCATTCTCATCTATTCGTAAAACTTAAAGTTTTATATCAAAAACAGGAATACTTCGTAATATTTCAACAAATTAACCATTATTTCACATTGTATTTCAACTTTTTGTACACGTTAGGAATAAAATAAGACTAGGTAATTCGTATATTTTATTATAACATTGTTTTATTTCCAGTTGCAATTGCCGGTGGTTGAAAGGCAGCAGTGTCAGAAACAGCTTCGGAACACACGCCTGGGACCGTTCTTCCAACTACACAGCTCATTCATGTGCGCTGGAGGCGAAGAGGGCGTTGACACCTGCAAAGGTGACGGTGGCTCGCCTTTAGTGTGCCCGATCGAGGTAATATATACAGGATTCACACAAATTCACTTACAAAATGGTCATGCTATAAAATCACTGCTTTTAAATAAAGCAACCTTTACTAGAACAAACTAATTAAACTTAAAATCAATTTACACACACAAATCGCGTAAACAAATACTTTCCCGCCTAAAAGTGAACAAACTAAATGTCATCGCTTTAAGGTCACTTCGGGTGCGTTCAGAAGTTTAAAGGTTCAGTTCAAATTAAATGTAGGTTCTCTAAATTGACATAAACTTTGACTTTTAATAAAAATTACAGAATTGAAACATACTTTTATGACAACAAAAATAACGTTCCTTTTCATTCAATATTTATATTTAATATTACATTAATTTATAAGTTTATTTTATTAAGATAATGTGTGTTATGTTTTATGTATATAATTATGATTAAAAATATTAATATTTCTAATTTCAGAACGAACAAGGACGCTACGTGCAAACCGGCATGGTCGCGTGGGGAATAGGTTGTGGCGAAAACGGTACACCAGGAGTATACGTAGACGTAGCCAACCTTAGAGATTGGATTGATGACAAAATTATAGGAAAAGGATTGGATACGAAAGTCTATACATACTAAAAAACGGATACAATCCAAAAATATATAGATTCAACAGCATACGTGTCAATTAAGACATTTTCTTTACTAGTGTTATGTTTTATTCGGTGTAAAATTAATTGAATATGTCGTGTGTTTAATTAGTTATACTCGTGTTGAAATTTAAGATACTTTTTTATATGAATCGAAGTAAACAAGTACTTAAGAATATGTGTGTATTATTTGTGTTTCAAATGGTATTTATTTCTGATAATAATTAACAAGACTTAATTTTACCCTATTTATATAGATTGTCTAAGCTCGTTCTACATTCTTTGAAAAATATATTCTCTATGTTTAACAGGTCTGTATATACATAATTTTTCTCCAATACAACTTCAACAAAATTTTAACTAATTTTTTCTAATACAACACTTTTATCTACTTCATTTTCGAACGATCTCGACTTGTCAATTTTACTTGATCAATGGCTGAAAAGTTAAGTGTCTTATAATGAAAAATATACACGTCAACTCAAATACGTGCAGAAATAAAATAATAAAAACTCGTAGTGCCCAAAAAACATAGTTTCATTTAAATAAAGGAAAATGTTAAATAGAACTTTTAAATTAAAAATCATGATTCAGTTATAATTTTTGTCATACAATATCTATAAATATATAATCAACCAAAGGTAATATATTTTGTCTTATCTATACAAATAAAAAAAATTTTAGTGTCTGTTTGTAAATATTGAAATAACAGTTTTTTACTACATGCATGCGAATATACGGTACATACACCAATATAAGATTTTTTTACAACTTTTCTCTGCCTTCGTCTGTCTGTTTATGAACATGAACATGAACCAGATGTCGATCCTGCAAAAATATTCATTCCGAGGTATAATTATAATTATTACAAATTAATTAATTAATTATAATTATTACAAATAAATAAAATATGAGTGTCTTTTTGTAATAATGAAATAACATTTTTTTTACTACATGCATATAGGTTTAGAGATCTTTATTTTACAAAAAAATTGCATATGAATATGTATACGGTACATACACCAATATATATATATATATATATTTACAATTTTTGTCTGTCTATTTCTTTGTCTATTTGTTCCGGCTAATCTCTGAAATGGCTGGACCGATTGTGACGGGACTTATATTGACAGGTAGCTGATGTAATAAGGAGTAACTTAGGATACTTTTTATGTCGATAACGAAGTTAAACGTTATCACTCTTGAGTCTCTAAAGGGGCAGTTCAAGTATTACGTAAGCAGATCTATTACAAACTAGTTTTTGCCCGCGACTTCGTCCGCGTTAGTTTCGTCATTAGTAATATATGTATAGCTCACCAGGCGAACTCTATTCCGTCTTAGAGGCCATAAATAATCAGGTTTTTCCTGTTTCAATCAAACAGAATGATTGACATATTAGTTAGTTGTCAAATCTAATGTCAAAAAAAGCGTTTGTATGGGAAATAGAAAAGGGCTGTTTTTAGGGTTTTCCCGGCAATTATTCCAATTTTTCTCACCTTTTATACCTTCCCTGAACCTCCACGAACATTTCAAGACTAAGATAAGATAAATCCGTTCAGCTGTTCTCGAGTTTAAGCGAGACTAAGGAACAGCAATCCATTTTTATATATATAGAAGATATTGACCCCCCCATCCCCCTTGTTACAAGAATAAGCAAAGCTCTTACCCCCTCCCCCATGCTTACGTAAACATTTTCAATTATTGTAATGTTTTTTTTTTATATAAATCCATAAAAATATTATAATTATATTTTTTATGGATCTACTCGATGTGACGATTAAAAAGTATGTAATTAACTACCGATGACGTAATCATCATCTAGACTCCCCTACCCCCCATGTCATAGTGCTAACGTAATACTTGAACGTCCCCTAAGTTTTCTCATTATATTTTGTTTGTACTTTTACGCAGACGGAGTCGCAGGTGACAGCTAGTATTGAAATGAAGTGGCATCTATGTATATGAAGAAAAATTACAGTACAGACCACAAATTATAGATGGCGTTAATGAGAAAGCACGTTTCCTTAAAACCAATAGTAAACCACAAACTTTTAATTTATTATTATTATAGATTGTCTTTTTAGTATTTCATTATTCAATAAATAAACATATTTACATATTAATTAATATGTCGTCACACTAATGGTCAATTTTTGAGACATTTAATTATCTAATAAAAAAAGATAAGTGTAGTTAATTTTATATAGAGATTACAAATATAATAAAACAAAGTAAACATTGATTATTAAATTTTAGTTCATGATACAAGCATTTCCAATATTAAAAGAACTTGATAAACACATAATATAGTGACGTGTGTAGGGACGCGCTAAATTATTAAACCACAAAGTAACCAGCCAGTTAAATACACACTGCAGCTCATCACTATACGTAAAACAAAGAATCATCATAAAAAATGTAGTAATTAATAATTTTATACACTTACAAGGCACAAAAAGTTTTCCGCAATCCGAAGAACATCAAAATTAAATATTAAAATGAAGGTTTTGAACTGTAAGACATTAGTGCTGCCATCTATCGATAATTTACTACAACTTAATTACAAATTGATGGACCACAATCATAGATGGCGCTGGTTTCAATTTTTTTTGTTTATATATAAATTTCATACCTTTGCTACGATTTATAGTTTTAAGGTAATATTGCGACTCGGAATACTTAAAATATAATGATGCTAAAGAAGAAATAATAACTACAATTATTACAGCTAATAATTTTCTTCTATGATCCCTTCCTTCAAAGCTAAAATTCATCATAAAGGTACATTTACAGTTTACTATATGATAAAAGTCTATCTTTATACCGAATTGTTATTAATATCATCTTTTATATTAATCGCTGCCGTGGTTGTAGATGCTGTTGAACTCATAAATGGTACAGCAAGTCTCTACATACAAGAGTACTTCCAATTATAATCAAATAATCGTCTTGACTAAGAAGCGTCACCTAAAACATGACATAGTGCACTATTTATTTAAATTAGAAATATATATAATACTAGCTGCGCCCCGCGGTTTTACCCGCGGATTTTCGGGATGTAAAGTAGCCTATGTGTAATCCCTGGACGTCAACTGAATACAAAATTTTATCAAAATCGGTTCAGCCGTATGAGCGTGAAGAAGTAACAAACATACACACACTAACAAACTTTCCCAATTATAATATTAGTAGGATTACATAATAAATATTATTTAGTAAATCAGTGTATTTGGAATTTTTGAAGGATACCCAGAAGGGCTATTTTAACTAGTATTGAACACATAAATATACTAAAGACAAAAAAGACTTAGATAATTTTAATCTGCGATTGCCCTGTGTTATTTGATGGGTGAAGCGTCTTAAATAACATATATATCTTCTTCTACTACCTGGCATTTTCCCAGCTTTAGTCAGGGTCTGCCTTACATGTTGTGAATGGTTTTGGGTAATGGTTATTACGACCGGCCGCCTGTCTAACATTAACCCTCTTTGGAAATGCATTAATCAGTGATGTCTAAATATTCTTAGAAAGTACATATGATTTGGAAAAATCACATTGGTACTTGCCAGGATCGAACCTGCGCCCTCATGCATAAGAGGTTGGCCTTTTGAGTTTAAGTAACATATACATCTATATGTGTTAGTGCTACTATAACTAAACTATAAGAATATAGAAAATCAAATGAAAAAAATATACTTTAAGGTCTCATTTATACATATAAAACTTTAAAGAAATTTAAGTTGAATTCAGATTTTCAGGAATATATCCAAAGGAATAGATGACAAAAACATAACAAACCAAAACCGTTTCAATTATAATTTATTACAAATCAAATATACCGATTACAGTCAATATTTAGAATAGAAATGTTCATGTACGTAATATATATCAATAAACAAGTCCGATTACAGAGACTTGAATACATTAACTAATTCCCCGAGTCACTCGATCTTACCGATGCCGTTTATTGTTCGTTAAGAAAATTTTCACCTAACTCATTAGCTATTAGACAAAGTAATGTGGTTTCTTGGCCGAAATGCCGTACTCTTGTAATGCTGGAACTAAATCCTCCATAGTCATAACGTATTTCTTTTCCTTCGGCCCTTTCTGATTCTTCGTGCTTTGTGTCATTTGGCTGGACGTTCTCATCTTGCAGTGTTGGAGAGCGTCGTTCGCTACGTCGGATAGGAATTTCTGTGATGCCAATGCTATTAGTCGGATTAACCTGGAATTGAAAAATAGTACATTGTGATATTTCTCATGTGAGAAGAGGTTTTGCTCGACAAAGGGCTGTGATAGGCTGATGATCATGATAAAGAACTTAATCTAAGAACTTTATTTTATATATTCAAAGATATGTAGTAAAGTAATATTTAATCCATTAAGTGATATTGAAAGAAATAAATTGGTATTTGGATTGGTATCACATTTCGTCTGTCCGTGATCAGGGTTGCTGTAAGTAACCGAAACGTCAGGAGTATGTAGTTTATAATAAAAAATCGCGTAGTACATCCGAAAATATTAGTTTCACTTAAATGAATACTCGCGAAAAACTTAGATCTCATTAAATTGGTATTAGTTAATATGTAGTATATTAAACATATATTACAACGAAATAACGTTGCTTTCTAAAGAATTTCGCAAGAATTTATACAAGTCAGCCAAACTTATAACATTATCGATCGTTACGTTTAAGTCGATACTTAGGCTTGAAAATTGAGAAATTATAGATATAGACTTATTCTATAGTTGTAAATATCTTCTAGAATACCTAGGATCTTGAGATTCGAAGCCAGACATATTCAAGTAGTACGCAACAACGGAGTCTGGTATAGAAGGATTGTAGTTCTCTAGTTGTAACAAGAAGTCGGTCAAAGCGTGACCAGCGCCGTCCTCGTCCATGGCGGTGCCTAAACGACTCATCTGCATGCTATAATATATAATAAATTTAATATAAAGAACAAAAACTTTGTTTATTTTAACTAAACAATCAACTTACCTCGTAAAAATAAAAGTTTGACGTATGTCATCACATATTTGTATAGAATATACATATTATAGTATATATAATTGTAGGTATATTGTTTTGTATTTTATTTATTAAATATTATCAGAGAATATTAATTAATAATATGAGTAATTCATGGGTTTCTTGAATTTTTTTTGGATATATAAATATATATAATTGCAGCCTTCTTTCGGAATTTACACATTCTTCTTTATAAATTTTGACAGATATTTCAAAAATTCTTCTTGAAAATAGAACGAATATTAACTTCTAGTTTCAAAAAAGGAATATTGAATTAATTAATTATTACTCAACTTAATGAAAATATTATTTCCTATGTTATATTTTTAAAAAAGTATTGAAACATTTTGTAATAATTATTCGATAGTAGTTAAATATTAAATAGTATTATCGTATTTATTATATTAAAAAATAATATATTTAGAAATTAGTAATCTGATTTCAATATAAATATATTTTTAAACTTATGTTTTATATAAAAAAAAGACATTGAAGTGTTACATAACAGCAGTTGTTCATAGATTTAACGAAACGCTTCACAGAATGTTGCCGCAACTACATCTATTTACCTGTTTTTGTGGTATAAGAAAATATGAAACCTAGAAACAAAATAAAATAAATAAATTATATACTATATCATTGTCTCTTTTTTCGCATTTCCTTAGTTCAGTCTATTTTATTTGACCTAAAATTGGATTAAATTGTAAATTTTATTTTATTTTTCTGTTATCTAGTAGTAATTTTGAATTCATATGTTTATGAATGTGCTCAATATTATTTAATTTTCAATCTAAGTCAAGGTACGTAGTGTTTTGATTCATAATTTTTTACTAATATACATTGCCATTTGAAAAAATTGTAATGGTAATTAATGTTTTCGCATCAACCACCCTGACCTCGTGGTATATTTCGGTCATGTTGGCAACATCTATCCCTTCCTTCCTTCTTTTGCGCCGCTCCTCTAGGCAGAACTGCGAGAGAACGTGATCGATCGAATTTCAAAAAGGCACTCACCCACCCCTGTGCTCCCGAGAACACGAATTTACTTAATATCTCCTGACTAAAGTATCAGGAGTTCGTATTTCGTGTGTCCGACATAACCGCGCGTGCTCGCAGATTCCATTTTACAACGAGGTAAACTCCCAATTAAAACAAAATGTCGAACCTCGCGGATCCAGTTGCGTTCGCCAAGGACTTCCTCGCCGGCGGTATATCCGCTGCCGTCTCAAAAACCGCCGTAGCGCCCATCGAGCGTGTGAAGCTTCTGCTTCAAGTGCAGCACGTAAGCAAGCAGATCGCTGAAGACCAGCGTTACAAGGGTATAGTCGACGCCTTCGTCCGCATTCCCAGAGAGCAGGGCCCACTGTCCTTCTGGCGTGGTAATCTCGCCAACGTCATCAGGTATTTCCCAACCCAAGCCCTCAACTTCGCTTTCAAAGACAAGTACAAGCAAGTCTTCCTCGGTGGAGTAGATAAGAACACACAATTCTGGCGCTACTTCGCCGGTAATCTCGCTTCTGGTGGTGCCGCCGGAGCTACATCCCTGTGCTTCGTGTACCCACTCGACTTCGCGCGTACCCGTCTTGCCGCGGATGTCGGAAAGGGAGAGGGACAGCGTGAATTCACCGGTCTCGGTAACTGCCTGACGAAGATCTTCAAATCCGACGGCCTTGTCGGTCTGTACAGAGGTTTTGGAGTGTCCGTACAAGGTATCATCATCTACCGTGCTTCGTACTTCGGTTTCTATGACACCGCTCGCGGTATGCTGCCCGACCCCAAGAACACACCCATCGTCATTAGCTGGGCCATCGCTCAAACAGTAACCACAGTCGCCGGCATCATTTCCTATCCCTTCGACACTGTACGTAGGCGCATGATGATGCAGTCCGGCCGCGCTAAGTCCGAAGTACTCTACAAGAACACGATCCACTGCTGGGCCACCATCGCCAAGTCCGAGGGAGCGTCCGCCTTCTTCAAGGGAGCCTTCTCCAACGTCCTCAGAGGTACCGGTGGTGCTTTCGTGCTCGTCCTCTACGACGAGATCAAGAAACTCCTATAAATCTAACATAAGAACTGTTACCATAAAAATATACTATGTGATTTTAAATCACATCTAGCCGCCGTTCCCCTGAAAATCATGTATTAGAATCGGATGAATCACTAATAGTAACTTATTTCTTAGTTAAATAAATGTTATACATTGATTCCGGAACAAATTTTGTTTTATTACATAATTTGAATGTTCTATTCTGTTTGAATTTAGAATAGAACAGAATTTAAAAAAGCTTGGATGTTAAAAAGCTATGGTGTATAATATAATGCCGATGTAGTATCATATTTATTGATTCCCAAACCTAGATGGGTTATGTAATCATGTGATGTTATGTAATTGTGGTTAGTGTAACTTTGTAGGTAACAGCTGAGTCTACACTAATGTGAGTTTCCATGCTCTGTGTGAGTTTTTTTCATTAAAAATATCATGCTGAGTGTCTAATATAGTATGTTAAAAAAAGTTTGTCTTTCATTTTGTTGCCTACATTGATTACCTAATACCAGCCCGACACACTTTTCATTGATACAGCCAAAACTTGAGTTTCAAACAGAACTTCAATAAAATTAGTATACTTAATTTAATATATAAAACATATATTTTAATAATTATTACAATTCAATTAATATCAGAAACTAACTATTAAAAATTTGCTTATAGAAGAATTTGACTATGGCTGTTTAATTGAAACACATGCACAGTTTATTGAACTTTATTAAAAAAAAACTTGACAGATCATTAAATAAGAAAATAAATTACTAAAATCTTAATTACTTAGATGGCAAAGATTTTATAACCTTAAAAATTCTTGATTACATAATGTAGCAAAGTTCAACTGGCTAGTGTGTAATTGGGTTACACTGATAAAGAAAATGAAATGTCAGTCCCTTTGAGATAGCAGGCGTGACGTATTAGTTGTGACGTCATCAGGTGACATTACATGGCAGAAAAGTCCAGGATTTGGTAAAATAAATGTGAAATAAGTTAAAATAAGGTAATAATACTCAATTATTACAAAGTTAATCCATTTAAAACAAAAGTTTTAGTTATAAAAGTACTATATTTGAGTCACGTCATCAACAAAATGGTGACGCGTAGTCAATGAATGAAGGCGCCAATACATTTTGTTTTGATCATTTGATTAATACAACTATAACATTCCTATTTGATAACGGATTAAGTTATTAACATAATTATTATTGATTTGCAATAATTATTTTCCATATTTAATCGATAAACTTTACAAGATCTTCGCGCATGCGCCTACATTATCCATAATTGATTCTCAATGACAAAAATTTATGTACTGACGAGTTATTATTGAAAAAAAAGATTATTAAGAATATCTGATTGTTATAAAGTTGTTATATTTTTACTAAGAGAATAATTGATTTCCCTAAATACATTTTCTTTGAAAGTATTCACGTATATACTACTATTTCCATATAAAATCTCAAAGGTGGTGGTTTTTCAAGCATATTACTTAATTTAGTTCCATAAACAATTGAGAATGTTTAGTTTTGTCTGGCTACAATGAAACAGTACCGTAATTGTTAGGAGAAATGATTTTGTAGCTGGAATAATCTAGAATAATCCGGTTAAATTTTACCGCCATTCAGATATCGCCGTGGTAGATTCTCCTGTTACGTGGGCAATGAGCATACGTAATACGATGCGTATATTACGTCACGTAAGTTACGTAAGCCAGGTTTACGGTTAATATTAAATTACGTATATGTATGTCAAATGGGATAAAATATAAGTAGTGAATGGGATCTTCTTATACTTTGAATAATAAGGAGGTTTTAATAGAATTAAATGAAATGTTATTTGGTTGTTTTATAAAGATTTATTTTTGATTTCTTGGGTATTAAAAAATATGGTTAAAATTTACTTAAGGAAAAGGTCATAATTTATAATCTTTTCAATTCTAAGAATGCCCTTAAGTATTAATATTAAATAGTTTTTTCTTTTATATAGAAATAATTTGTTGTGATTTCAAATAAATTTTTATAAGATATTTATAATATTAGATTTTCATAATCAAAATTTCAAGTAAAAGGTAAAAAAAACTTACTTATATTACAAAATTCGTGTATTAATCAATATATATTAATCTATTTAGCTAAGTTTAGATATATATAGATAGATAACATAATAGATTTCATTATAATAATATTAAATATATATATACTAGTCAAAACAATATAAGGGCCACTTGTTTATTTTGACGTTTGAAGCGATCTAATAAATTTTAAGAGTTAAGTTTTTTTATGGCGTTACATTAAGTGTTGACAAACATTATGAGAGTATATCACTTACTTAATTTTTGAAGTGGGTCGATTATGAATTTTTTTTTCGAAGTCACTAAAAATTACTCTATTTGAAGTCGACTTTTTGAGTCATTTAAACTGTCGAGTTCTTGGTGAACTGCAGGAATTCTCTTTGTTAGTGCGTGATTATCATTTTTAAAGGACAATGCCGAGGATTCGAAGACATATGGACATACAGATCACAACTATGGCCATAACGCTGATTCAACAGGGCCATTAGTAGCGTTCTGTAGTTCTGCAGCTGGGTTTTTCACGGCGAGCAATCCAGAATGCTTGGATTAGGTTTCAAGAGACTGGGAGAGTTACCAGAAGACTAGGATCAAGCAGGAGTCGAGCAACCACAGCACAGGAAGACCGCTACATACGGTTAACTGCGCGTAGAGAGCGAGTCGTCACCGCCCGTTCCTTACAAAACCGCTTGCGCCAAGCGACGGGCACCCGCGTAAGTGACCAAACGAATAGGAATCGGTTGCATGAAGACCAACAGTTCTCTAGACGACGAGTAGTGCGAATTCCACTGACATCCGCACATCGTGCAAGGCGATTAACGTTCACTAGGCAGCACCAGGCCTGGAACCTTGATGACTGGAGCAAGGTATTGTTCACAGATGAATCCAAAGTTAATTTTTTTAGTGATGATCGTCGCATTAGAGTTTGTAGAAGAGAAGGGAGCGATTTTCGGATGCTTGCATACACGAAAGTGACAGATTCGGGGGTCCCAACGTAATGATGTAGGGCGGAATCTCACTATCAGGTCGAACCAAGCTCGTAATTATTAACGAAGGCACGGTAACGGCTCAACGGTACATTGAGCAGGTCATAAGACTCCACGTGGTGCCATTTTCATAGAGAATTGGTGCAGGGTTCCAATTAATGCATGACAATGCCCGCGCTCATACAGCTAGAGCTACTGCCGAAGCACTAGAAGAAGCTAGTGTACAGGTGCTTCCGTGGCCCGCCAATAGCCCGGACCTTAACCCTATTAAGTATACATGTGGGATTTATTTAAAAAAAGCGTTTGTGATACAAATCAACCGGTAACTAACGAACGACAGCTCATCAATGTGCTAAAGACAAGCTGGGATCAAATCCCTCTGGAGACAATATGACACCTGGTGGAGAGTATGCCTTCGAGGCTTGAAGAATGTGTTAGAAAAAGGAGAGGACACACACGTTACTGAAAAAAATAAAAATTTCAAGAAATGTTCAGTTTTTTTTTTAAATTAGACACTTTTTTCATATTGTGCATTTTAGGTTAAAAAGTCAATATTTCCAAAAAAAAAGAAAGGGATGTTAATTTTAGAGTAATAAAACAATATCTGCTGCTCTTTACATTAAAAATTGATTAAATAATTTAATCTAATCATTTTCATATCCCTAAATCCCATATTTCTTTTAATCAACTAAAAAAACATGGTGGCCCTTATTTTATTTTGACTAGTATATAATCTGAATATTTCAAAGTTATCTACCATTTGTTATGTAACACTGCAGAGGTTTTGGCGTCAGGACTATCGATTAAGGCCGCTTACAGAAAACGACTTGAGTTGAGTCAAATGACGATCTAAAGGTATACAGGGTGACTGGTGAATTACTATCAATATTTAAGGAGCATACTCGGTACATGATTCTCATTCGAATTATGTAAAAAAAATAGGTACTTAATTTTTGACAAAATTTCCGTATAAATAAATAAAGTGTGTACACGTTCCAAGTGTTCAAGTGTGGACGCGTGCGGCGACGTGCTGATACAACACTACGTCACGACACGCGTATGTGTGAGTGTCAGTGTATACCTAATCTGTAGGGTGTTCATACGATGCGTAATTAATTACATAACTTTTGGTTAACTTTACTTAGAAGTTTATTAATATTTATGTTATATTAATTTTTATTTTGTCATATATGATCGTCAAATATCACGTCCTCAAGTATCGATAGTAATTCACCAGTCACCCTGTATAATATCTTTATATATATAATTCTTCTGTGAGTGTGTATGTCACTGAACTTCTCTCAAACGACTGGATAAATTATGATGAATTTTTTTGTGTGTGTTCAATCAGATCTGGGAATGGTTTAGATTCACAATTTTGTACGCTCGACAAAGTTTTTTTAATCAATTTTTAATTTATTAGTAGTTGTTGATACATACGTTTTTTTTTTACATTAGATTTGACAACTAATATGTCAATCACTCTGTCGCACTTCAGAACACGGAGATTTATGGTTTACAGGTAAACTCAAAAAATATAAATAAAAAAACGTAATAGATATTTCTTGATAGGGCGATACGAAGTTCGCCGGGTCTTCTTGTAATATTATAAATGTGAAAGTAACTCTGTCTGTCTGTCTGTTACGCTTTCACGCCTAAACCACTGAACTGATATTAATGAAATTTGGTACTGAGATGGAGTTGACCTTGAGAAAGAACATAGGATAGTTTTTATCCCAGACTTTTGAAAGGATCTCTTGGAAACGCGATATAACCGAACTCCACGCGGGCGAAGCTGCGGTCGCAAAGCTAGTATGTATATAAAAATTAATCCCTTTTTCCCTTGGTAACGGCATCAAGCGTGAATGGCTGGACCGATTTCACTAATTCTTTTTTTGTTATATTTGTTATTATTAGGAGATCGTTTTTTGTAAGAAAATATACGAAAATTACTACAATAT